ATGAAAAAAAGACTATCACCCTGTGTGCTGGGCTAATGAACTGCAGAGAAAAGCCTCAAGTGTTCATATTCTTCCCATAAAGCTGGAAGGAAAAAAAGTATCCCTGAGAAATAACTGCCCATAACAGGAACGTGGTTGAACTAGACATGTATTTGACATTTACATAGTATTATTATTATAGAAAGAGTATTTCTTTATATACTTTCGCTTATTAATGGTCAGGTTAACCTTACTCTCTGCACTGCTGACATATTTGCCCTTTCTTCAATCTCCAGTGAAACAGGACAGAAAAATAGTGAGATTCTTGGTAGCCACATACGATTCAGTGGGTTCAATAGGTAAGTTCCTAGGAAAAGTTGTCATGGGCACCAGTCTGATAGAAAAGGCAAAAGGATTGGACAGAAGTCCTGATGAGACCGTTTTTCAATCCCCAGTGTCCATGCAGCAACTGGAAGAGCAGTTCCAGAGAAGGAAGCTTTTCTCTGTTTCTCTGCTCCTAGCTATTTGAGTAATTAGGCTTCATCTAACAACATATAGCAGGCTCACAGAAGTTTGTAGGACATCAGTATATTCCCCTCAGTGTTTACACAACAAGGTGCATAAAGCAGTCCTGAGCTTCACTTTTCTTCAAAGAGCAAACTTTACTCTCAATACTTTACTAAATGCCAGCAGCAATAAAACCTTCATCTTTTTTTCATGTTTCATGGCAGGCAGAACATCTTCGCATAGAACAAAGGTTCCCAGAAGTTTCATCCATGGCAGCATATACAGCTTCTCTTTTCCCACTTTGAATGGGCATGACTCTACGAGAGCTCAAATTTTCAACATACAATTCCTTTAATTCTTGCCCAGCTTCTCAGAAGAATCAAGAATCTTTTGTGCTGACCAGATGTCCCCTTGTTGACCTCCCCCAAGTCTCCACTTGACTCCTAGTTCTGAGGGACTGCAAAACTAAGTTCCTTTAGCTTCTTTGAATCTTACTCCCCTACCAATCCATAGCCCTGTGAATCTCAGACAGCAGGTGACATCTCATCAGACCTCCAGAAAAATCCCCTATCTGTGGGATTTCTATCTGATCCTGTCATCTCCATCAAGTCTAACAGACACTAAAGAAACTCATGTAGATGGAGTAACAGAAAATTACATTGCAGAAGAGAACATAAGGAAATATATCTATATATTTTTACTTCTGTGATATTCCCTGCTGCATGAAATTTCTAATCTTAGCAACTGGCAAAGTGTAATATTTAAAAAAAAATATATTGTCCCTTAGCTTCACATTGTGACAATTCTATGTTTCTTTCCTTAAGTATCAGTAAAATACATTTTCAAAAGAACTGAGGACCTTTAAATTGGAAATTCAATTTTCAAGTACATTATCAGTCACTTATATCTCTACTAGCTCTCAGTCAACAACTTTCAAGTACACACACGAAGTTAGTGTCCTATGTCAATACATTCATGTTTTACACTAATTTTCCAGCACCTCTAAGATCAACAAAAATGCACACATGATTAGCTCCTCTTCTTGATAAATAAAAAAGTCTTCATCTCTGGATCTGTGGCTGTCAAATAACTCAAGTTCTTCACAGACATTTTGAAATCCCAGCAAAAATATGGGGAAAAAATGGCTAGTCAAGGAAACAAATGGCAATACTTGTTCCAGGAATTTTCATTAGACTGCACAAGTGAAAGCCACTTAACTGCTAGTTTTCTTTTTTGTTTTTTTTCTTTCCGAGGAAGGCAACCTTAGCTAGGCTCAAAATCAGGAGTTTAAGAAAATTATATGAAGATTTTTTTTATTGCCATGAAAACAACGTATTAGCAAACACAGAATGGGGAAACTTACTTTTTTCTGTGATCTCTGTCCTAATGTCTGAACTGGAAGTTTTATTTTTCAAATTCTGAGCCAATGTAAAACAAGATTCAAGCTGAGGATGCCGATGGTCCATATCTGCAGTTGTTATCTGTTGAGAATTAGGATATGATTTTTAACTCAAAAAAGTAGAATTTAGTTAACATCATCTGTACTATCCACAGATTTAAAAACATGTATATGTCTATACAAGTATATGGATGGTCCCATCATTATTGCAATCCTTGAACTGTCACAGTATTATAGCACTACTTTGAAAAGCAAAATATTCCAAATTATAGTTACTGAAAATCAGAGGTAAAGGTTAACCTGTACAAACCACACAGATATCGCAGTCATTGTACAGTATTTTCCAGCATCTACTTTTCACTCTTCCATAACTTATTTTCCTCTTACCAAGCTCTCATCATTTATATATATATTGGAGGCAGGGGCAGGGGAAGATGGAGAAAAAGAAGGATAGGGAGGAATAGTCAGACTATTCAGTGCATAAATATGCCTGAAAAGCATAGTTATTTCACTATGGCAGTGTACAAGAGGCCCATATCACAAACACTACACAGTTAAAAGAAAGTATTTCCAAAGTTACTGTACATCATATTATTCTTTCAAATTCCAGACTATGTTAGACACTCAACAGAAACAGTTTAGCACTTGTTTAGCCTGCAGCTTTTACTCTACAGTTACTCATGTTATTTGATATCAAGTCAAATAAAATGAACCTTAATGGCCTCGTACATCTCACAAATACTGCCCTCAGTCATGGCTCAGCACGGCATGAGCTATCAACAGAAACAAACATTTACATCAAAAGCATTTATGTTACAACTTTTAATCATTTTGGCATCTTCTCTGGAAGTCAGTTTAGTCTAACTACAGCACAACAAAACTCGTTAGAAACCAGTGAACAGTGAACCACAAAGGTCACCCTCCAAGCACATATGAAGCTGCTCCAACATCTTCAGCATAAGTTACCTACACAAAGCCAGAAACATGTCATTTTCTGGAGGCATTCTCCTTTTTTTTTGTTTTAAACAAAAAAAAATAGCAGTGCTTAGCTCACAGAGAGACACAAGAATGAACAGGAAATAGTAGATGAGAGAGGAGTGTAGTAAAAACAGCATTTAAAGTGTAAATTTCACGTTACACATTTAGTTACAGTCAGGGTTTTTTTCCTTTTCAAACACATATAATTGCTTTTAATTTCTTTACTGAATGTAAAAACTATTAAAGTGAGAGCAAATTTTCTACTAGCCTTCACAAAAACACATACTTTCATTCGCGCAATAGTCCGATTGATCTCTTCGGTATTTCCCACAGTGACTATATTTGATTTGAGCATCTGGTCAATCAATACCAACCAGTCAGCCAGCTCAGTTCTAGTTTTATCCAGATCAGCAGGTGCAGAAAGTTCCAAAGCCTGCTGAGTCTGAACAGGAATTTCCAATGAAGAAGATGCTAGCACCACCTTTTGGATATCTGAAACAGAGTTTGGGGTTCCATTAAAGATAAAGTAGTCAGGACCACACGTGCAGTTCTGGGAGTTAGACATTTTTTTTTTGTAATTCCTATAAATATGCAATAGCATCTACACAGAGGAAGCACAGCAAAAAATGTATTTTAACAACTAAAAAATAACTAATCAGAAATTCCTTTTGCCCCCTTAAGGCTATTATTTTTTTCTTGCATGCCAAAGACGCCCCCAAATGATTCAGCCCAAATTCAAAATAAACAAGATGAAAATTTGCAAAGGCAAAATTACATTAAAACTAACAGAGTGAAGCTAAACATTCTTTGACATTAAAGGGAATTGACCCTTATTAAGCATAAAAACCAATCCTTTTGTTTAAGATAAATATCTAAAACTGTCTTCCTCATTTTTCTACTGTGTGACAGAAAGGTTCTCCCCATTCTTGTATCAGAATTCACTTAAGCATGAGTATTTATTAAGGACACTAGCCTTTTCCTAACAAAAGTATTCCTTAAGGCTTTTTACCAACAAAATCAGTGAAATGACTGCAATAAGGTTAAGTGGAAGCCACTGTCACTTTTATTAAAGAAATATTTAAGCTGCAAACATTTCAAACATGGGGGTTGGACTAGATGATCTTTAAAGGTCCCTTCCGACACAAACCATTCTATGATTCTAAGTTCAGCTTCCGCAACAGATGCTTCATTACCTTGGCAACACATAGCAGTTTGAAGAAGGGACAGACGCCCACTAGTTCTACTACATCCTTTCTGTCTTTTTAACCTGACTCTACAAAGAAGCGAAGAGTGAGCTGAACAGTAAGATTAACTCCAGAAGTTGTGTTCTAGTTCCAAGAAACATCAAGTTATTTCAAGCTGGAGCATGGATATTTCACACTTCCCTCAATAAAACACAAGAACTTTACTTAACAAACACCTTGTATGAAAGGAAAACAAGCTGAATCAAGGCTTTGAAAGGATTAAACAAAAGTTGGTTTGCCTCTTTTAAATTTTGTTTACTGCTGCTGAATTAAACCAAAATAAAGTCAATTTACTGAAGTTTAAGTTGCAAATTCTTTCAGGCAAAGAACTGTCTTTTTTACCTAGTTTTTTTTACAAGGGAGACATGGCATCTTGTTTACAACCTGTATCTGCTGCACTGCCTCCAACAACTTGAAAATATGTCCACTGTCAGTGTCTGATACAGGAACATATATTTAGAGAGCTTCCCCTAAAGAGATTCAGGAAGGTGAGTATTTAGCAGGAGAGAAAGACTCATCTGTGTCCCTAACAGAGTTGAAAAATGCAGAATGGCCTTTGTTTATAGGACTGGAAAGAATTTGCATGTGGGAGATACTTTACAAATAATTAGCTTTACAGAAAGCTACTGGTGGATCTTAATTACTAAAAGGCATGACCACAAATCCACAGGGAACGAAGCTGTCACAAGCACAGCTATTTTGGTTTTTACTCTCCACTTAGTACACTGTCTCCTGATGAGGAGGCCTAAGTTTTACTAAAACATTTCTCCATTTCAAAACTCTTAGAGGAACTTTAAAGGACTTCCCCAGTCCTGAAGAGTAGAGTGACTTTTTCCCTACCCAAATATTCCCTCTCTCTCATAGTAATGTGAAGATTCCCCAAGTACAGCAGCATTGTACAACTTTTCTTATTTATATTTTCTAAATTCATAGGGAAGGTTTATCCTTTTTGGATTATTTTGACTGCAAACAGGATTAAACTCAATCTAATTAAGCAGAAGAGAGGGACTGATCACTTACCAGGAGGCTTTGTCTGTGTAAGAAGACGAGATTGCCCAACAAATGCCTCCAATTCTCTTACTCTGTCAGGCACTTCTCTGAATACCTACAGCCCAACAGAGATGAGTTAAACCAGTAACACAACCTATATTAACAGCAAAACATAATCTCTTATTGGAAGACAAAATACTCTACGACATGTCTGCAAGAATAGCATGCCTCAGACATTTCAATTATTTCAAGTTATCCATTAAAAACCAATTAAGATACCAAGAAGCACTAAAGTGGGAGGTTTTTTATACATGCCAGTGTCATACCTAAATGTTGAAAATAAATTAATTGTTGTAGACAAGCTCTTTACATGATTTTTAATGTCTAATCACCAAAACTGACTCATTATTTGAGTATACTTGGAAGAAAAGATGATGCAAAGCATGATTTGTGGTCATAAGTTACATAAAAGTAGAGAAATAGGGAATAAATTTTAAAATGAGGAAATGTTACTACTGAACTCTATTGTAGTAAACACAAATTGGCCTATTTGCTTTTTAAAAGGCAGTGATGGAAACGCAATATACAAAGTAAGGGGGAATCCCCATTTTCATGGCTGACTTGGTAAAAACACAACTTTTTTCCCTTCCCTGTACAATCAAAAAGCCCCTTTCTCCAACACATTCTTACCTCTGTGATTCATAAAATAATCTCAAATAATTCTATTCTTTTTCATTTGTATCTCCAGGATCTGCTAGAAAAAAACCTGGTTTTACTCCAATTAGTGAGTTCTTTCTCATATACTTGCCAATGAGGTTGAACACAGCAGATTCTAATTTACAGCAGTTATGCTCAAGAGGAAACCCAGACATACCTGATAAGATTTTATCACCAAGCTTTATAACAGCTTCATTTGTTTTCCTCTTAACTGCTGAAAACATTCAGCTTTCCTATACAGTAAAGATTTATTGTGACTCACTCAATTTCAAGTTAACATATTACTGTTTGACTCCAATAGGTGAAGTATTTTTGATCCAGCTGATAGATATTTTTGATCCACCTTTTAAAAGAAAGCCAATACAACAGAAAAATCAACAAAAAAATCCTAAGCTAACTAAATTAAGTCAGTCTGGTGGGAAAAATGTCCACTAATATCTTCATATAGAAACGGTTTGGGGTGCATTTCCCGATCAAGTCTGCATGGCTTGCAAGTCATTTTATGTATACACCACAGATACATGAAAAGGAAAACAACCGTTTCAAGTATGCCACTATATTTTCAACTTCAGGTAGCCAACGCTGAAGAAATGCACACCTTATTCCACCTCATGTTGAGGGACTGCAGGCAATTGGAAAGTTTGTTTTTTTCCTGAAGATCAACATTTTTATCCAAAAGCACTTCAGGTTCAGTTCTGTTCAGCCATTCCAGTTTGTCGCCCTGTAATTCCATCTCTTCACTTAAGACCTAAAAGGGACGGAAGAGTTTTAGACTAAGGTAAAATTTACACATGCTTAAGTAAAAGAAAACCTCCCCCCCTCCTTAAGTATTTATATGATTCTCTGAAAATATGTAACAAAAAAGCCTCTATTTTAGATTCTATGCTCAATCTAGAAATTATTAAAACGTTTATTCAAATATCAACATTTATTGTTAAGTGGAAAAAAACCTACAAAACCACAAATAGTCAAGGTACCTTCACAAGGTACAGCCTCACATCATGCACACTGATTCTCATCTCACAGTATCCTTTTGTTTGATCAAGTCTGGATGCACCACATGTATCCAAAAGGCAACACATTGCCAATCAAAATTGTTGCCTTAATTCACTTAAAAAATAGATTAAAAGCTAAACAGCTATGCCTGATATGCATTATACAAGTACATAGTGGATCATTACAAGGTACTTTACTCTTAGGATATACTCTAATGGTGTTTAAAAACTAAACATAACCTTAAAACTTCATTTTGATCAACCATCCACAGATTTTTTTTGTCTTTTAACATGGAAGTGCAGGTCAGATCTTACAAAAACCCAAAAAACCTCATGCCTGTGTTCCCACTGACTTTAAATCAACTGTGCTATCGTTTGCCCACAGACCAGAAGCACCGTGGAGTATCTCAAACTTTGTTTTTAGAACACTAGAATAAAAAAAATGCAATAACAAGTACACATCATCTTTATCCAACCCCAGTATTTATACTAACATCTGTCACACAAGTATTATGGAGGCGTGCATAGTGAAGAGACAGGATAAGCATTATGCCAAGCGATGCCTTCTGTAAACTTTCAAGGGTCTACCTTAGAAGGATTCTAAGGTACATGCTATAACCTCTTTAATTGGAGGCTTCTCCAGAAGCTCTATTTAGAAATATCCTTCTCATTCCCAGACTGTATTTATTCCTGATTGATCAGTTAACATCAGTTATTCCCATTTCCCTAATACAGACAGGATAAGCATTATGCCAAGCGATGCCTTCTGTAAACTTTCAAGGGTCTACCTTAGAAGGATTCTAAGGTACATGCTATAACCTCTTTAATTGGAGGCTTCTCCAGAAGCTCTATTTAGAAATATCCTTCTCATTCCCAGACTGTATTTATTCCTGATTGATCAGTTAACATCAGTTATTCCCATTTCCCTAATACCAGCCTTTAAGCTCATCTCATTCCCAGACTGTATTTATTCCTGATTGATCAGTTAACATCACTGTTATTCTCATCATCATATCCTTTTCTCATTGTTCTTTATTTGACTAGACAAAAAAGTCAAACTCTGAACAATCCCCAAAACCTTACTGAGTATCTGTTTTATTGCAAACTCAGCTTTCCATTTCTATACATAACCAAAATGAAAACATACTCCCTTTTCCACAGGGCCAAAACAGTACACAATTCCCTAGCAGTGCTTCCCTAGCAACTCTTCTCTTTCCCCCCATGTTCCAGATCTATCTTTCACTTCAGAGATCTATATTAAGGTAGAGAGAAGCAAAATTACACTATGATGATAGTCAGATAGCAAATACTCAATGACATGAGCCAATTTGTTTAAGCAAGCTGCAATTACTTTACATCATTTAGACATACTTGTTCAAGCCTTCCCACCAAACAGAGGTTGTTTGGATTTTTTTGCTGGTTTTTCTGTTGCCTTTTGTCTTTAATTGATAATTTTTACAAAATGAGCAGGCAGGTTAGTTGGACTGACTACTCCTCCCATTCTTTTAGGATTTCAGAAGCATTCTCTTTCACACATTCTACAACCCCCAGATGCCTTGTTGCCAAAGCCAGACAAAAGAAGTAGGAAAAATACATTCACATGCATACAACTTACTTGAAATGGCCAAACCTCTTACAGTTTAAAAAGCAGGTTAAATAAAATCTTACACATGCAACAAAGTATTAAAACTGCCCAGTACATGGGACAATTGTGCTTACTTCCCATTTAAGCTTATCAGCTTTTGCTAAATTCTGACAGTTATAAAGTAGACATAGACAAACCATCTCCAATGAAATTCCTAAATTTTATCAGTAGTACATATATTTCTCACTTTCCCACACAGAGACACCATCTTCTGGCTAGATAACATAGCTACCAACTCAACCCAACTTCATTATGAGATGCATTTTGCCTATGTAAGTAATCACATAAAATTGTCTCACCCAACCATATTTCTTTGGCTATTGATTGACAAGAGAAAAATTCCCCTCCTCAAAACACATATCCTGATGCTTTGCACAAGACAAACACGTGTATGCACATAAACACACTAATCAATCTTGCCTGTAATTCTTGCAAGTTTTCTTCATGGTCAAATGTAAATCTTGTGTCCAGAGCATTTTCTACATTTTCCAACCAGCATCGCAGCTCTTCAAGCTTCTTTCTATAGTCTATCACCTGCTGATTATCTCCTTTTAGCCTTAAAAAGCAAAACAAAAAACCTACATGAGTTTCTGCAGTGAATACAGCATGTCAGTACTACATTACTTCTGATGCCACAGTCAAGTGTTTTTCAGTGCCTGGAGCATTTTCATGGATTCACTTTTATCATCAAAAGATAAAATGCAAGATACTTGCAAATGAATACCACTACCTTAAAAACAGACAACTTTCAGATCCAAAGTCACAAAATAGACTTATGAGACTGCAGAAAACATTAAATACCAGTGATAATAATGACAACACCTCCAGGCCTGATCATTCTAAGCCACTATGTGGCCATTGAATTTTTCCCTTGGAGGTTTTAGGGAAATTTCTAAGACTTTCACTGTATCACATAAAGCTTTAGTGAAAATTCTCAAACTAAATAATTAACAAAGATCTTATTACATTTCTAAATGTATCAGGAAATGTCAAAAACATGTAATAACAAAGATTTTACTTTATAGTATGTGAAAATTCAAGAACAATACAAGTGTTTCAATTAGTGTATCTCTTCAATGCTAAAACAGAAATCAAGGTAACATACTTACAGTTCAGCTTCAGACAGAGAAAGGTGAGTAATTTTTCTTAAAAAAAGTCTGGCTTAGCAATGACATTATTTTAAAACAAAAGGAAAACCTTAAGCAAATAAGTTTTGTGGCTGTCATTTTGTGGGTTGTATTAAAACAGACTCACTAAGCAGTCAATTGCAGGTGCATTATGTGAAATTTGTGCTAGACAGAGCTCAATGTCGGGAAAATTCAGATTAATGACAGCAGGCAATAGAATGCACTAACTCTCAGAGTCTTCTAAATGAGATTCTCCTCATTAGATCTTGTCAGACATCCAATTTTTTATTAACTTCTTACCTCTGTTGTCTATCCATGACCTCTGTAGTGATTGCTTTCCAGCGCCTATTCAGTCCTGCCAGCTTCTCCTGTAGGAAACTCCCATCTGTAGCAGGTAGTTTCTGTATAATCCCTTCCCCAGTTCTGTTCAGTGCTGAAACACTGGTCTGATGGCTGCTGACTCCCTCTTCAAGTTCCTGTCAGAAACATAAAAGCCACACAGAATTTTATTACTCACCTAAAGTGACTTTGATCTGTGCCTCATTATATACAGGATGAATCCTGGGTGCATCTGCATGGCACTTGAAGCCATCTTACTTAAAATTGGATGCTGTTGATTTAAGTTATTAAGGTTCTGTTGTTGAATCTAGTTCAATTTTCTGAGTGTCATGAAATGATAGTGACAAAGAATAGGCTGCTGAATCCTACTTAGCATCCCAAGAATTCACTTAAAATATCAATGTCAGAATGTATACTTATGTTTGATTCCTTTTCTCTTAATGTACAGCACTTTCTAGTAGTGCTAACAGATAGTATGACTTTTTTAATCAATTCTTTTCATAACCTATGTCCCTAAATATTTTTGCAGCATCAGAGTATTTTAGTTAGGATAATTATGGCTGTGCTGGCACGGTCCCAGATACCTAAGCTAAAGGAAATCAGATGATGTCAGGATGAAACCTTCACATATCCTTAACCACTACAAAAATCTTACATTGTTCGTAAAAATTTATTTGCAACTAGATTAGGAATAAGATAATTCAAGAAAGAGAAGGGAAATACCCTAGAAGAAAACTCCAAACAGCAACAAGGATAAAACACAAGCTGTGTCTTAGAACTTATTTTTCTTTCGCAACACACTTAACAATTGGACAATTATTATTCTCAAAAGAAAAAAAAAAAATCCAACCCTTTAAGTTATGCTTTCTTCTTCTTATTTAAAAAGAAGTAAAATAACTAGAAAGAGATCAGGGAACTAAATTCCAGAACTGAAGTCTGAAAAAATCAAACCTAAAAGATCAGTAATTAGAATCTTCTCTTTTTCTACATTGCTTATACAAGGGAGTATCTTCAGAACTCAATTGTTTAAAAAAATTTGCCAGCATGAGCAGTTATAACTAGCCATCGTTGGGATCCATTATTTTTAATTATGAGGCAAAAGTAAGTGATACAATATATTCGATTTTTAATTGATATATTTAGAAACTGGCAAAAATTATGCCAACATTTGAATTACCAAATTATCTCAAATCCATCCATACTAAGAGTCACCATAAATGCTCACACTATAAGCAGTAATTGAGCTCTTCCCCAAGAACAATTTTAAACTGCAACTGAATCAGAAATTTTAAGACTTACTGCTTTTTAAAGTGTAATTGCACAGCCTCATTGCAAATCCATGTCTCCACAGGAAACTACAATTTTAGACAAAAGTCTAGACATTTTCCAGCTTGCTTGTTTTCCACACAAATCACACATACCTGCTGATGCAGTCCAGCTGTCTGCAGCTCCAGGCTGCCATCTGGACCACGAGCTTCAGCTAGTAACACTTCAGCTTCCGTTATCCAGTGGGAGAGATCATTGAGATCACAGTGGAACTGCCTCCATGACTCAATTGCTCTATCAAAGCAACTGTTTGAAAATAAAGGATTGAAAAGTTATCCAAACCAGTTCAGTGAAAAGGCTAAGATTCCCACTCCAGTGAGTAGGAACTTGCCTTGCAGAACACAAAGGCTAGTGTACAGCATGCTTAACCAAGTCCCAGTACTGAAGGCTGCCTGGCATAGTAGCAGCTGGTGAATGCCAACAGCAAAGCCAGTCCTTAACTTACAGCTGAAGGAAAAAGGGCAGCCCTAAGCAAACTTTTGTCTCTATCACTTAAAAAAATAAAGATTGATTAGCTACATCAAACTGGTCTGCAGAACCCTTTTTTTTCTTTATCATGAAACAGTTCAGGTATCAGACAGTGTGAAACAAAATATGATTAATTGCTCAGTTATTTTTTTTGCCATAAGCCATGAGGTACTGGTGCCCAGAACTTAATAAGTGAAGGTGATTTTGATGATATAGAACCTCCTGTATTATCAGTAAGCATGCATAAGTAGGTCTTACACAATTTAATCACACAATAATTTACCAGGTTTTCATTGTCATCATCTTTGCAGCCTCAAATTAATGTGCAGTTGAACTTGAAGGGCAACATTTTCTAGCATGGACAGGCAGAATTATCACAAAGTTTTTTTTAAAAAAAAAAAAAAGAGAGTTCCCTTATGTTAACAAGCTAACACAATCAGACCATGTATGCTAAGTAAGAAGACCATGTCAGAGAGGAATAGCGTGATTTACTCTCTATTTATTGACTGTTAACTATTCCAAACTAATAAAATAGTCATCTTTAAAGACAGAGGAGACCAGGTCTCTTGTTAATCAGAGGACCCTGATGGAGGAACAATCTCACTTGCAGCCCATTATTTCTGTCTTAACCAATTCCAACAGCAAAGACTCCAGGGCTATTACATATATATAGATGTAATCTGAAATTAGCAGCATAACAAAGGTATCTAAAACCAAACTATAAAGAGCTACCATTGCATCTATTTTTTCACTAATTAAATTCAACAATCCCAGAGTTCCTAGTGAGATTATTTTCATCAAACTTTATCTCATTTTTACAAGATAGCCCTATTTCTTGACATGTACAGGGCTTATTTGTTGTTATCATTCTTAATATTGGCTAATTCCAATAAGGAAGTCTTTAAAACCTCTACTTGAGTCTTCTAACCTTATCTTCTAGTTCTACTGCTCCAGTTTCCTGCACATATCTTGATTCAACACACTAGACCAACCTGCAGACTGACCTCAAATCCCAGTCTCCTTTTATTTCCCAGGTACATTTCAGTCTAACTGAACATATTGTCTCTTGATAGTATCTCATTTCGCATTTGATGGCAAGAGATATTCTAAGCACTTAAAATAGATTAAAATAATGTTTTATTGGCTCCCTTACAAATTAAAGTTTTTGTGGGAGTTTTGACCGCACGGCTTTTTCAGAATCCAGAATTTTAAAACTTCAGAGGAGAATACTGAGACACAAAGCTTTAACTCCTGCCATTTCTGTTGTGAGACTACAGTTTCATTGGTATTTTGAGCAATGAGACAAAGTCTTGCTCCAGTTTTG